ACTTATTTTGCCATGAACACAGGTGGTGGGAAGTCATATAACCATATTATCTTTCATGAACCTCACAAGAATGACCCCGATACCTTCCAAGACGTATACCGTGAGGTATTCTGGGTGCGATACGTGAACTGGGGTTTAACTTTCCCGTTAATTCTCGTTATTTTGGTCCTCTTGTCTGACATGCATGGAGCGAGCCTTTTGGTGTCTGTCACCGCGCATTTCGTCATGGTGGTGGCGGGTATCATCAGCGCTTACGGAGGTCCTAGTAGCCGGAAATGGGCGTAGTATATGATTGCCTGTTTGGCATATCTGACGATTGCGTATCAAGTCGGGTTCAATGGACGCAGGGCCGTAGCTGCAAGGGATAACAGGACAAAGACGCTGTTTTCCTCTTTGTCCGTCTTTGTGTTGGTTGTATTGCTAGTATACCCCGTGTAAGTAAATACCTTATAGATGGTAAAGAAAAATTAGTTTACGAGGAGAGCTAATGTTGAAACTGGTCCAGGATCTGGGCCTTTTCCTCCAACGCCCGCCACATGAGTATTGACGCGGAGACCATTGCGTATGCTGTCTTGGATATTTTGCTGCAAGGGCTTTTCGGATACTGGCTGCTCATTTCCCACGATAGCATGTCAGCCTAGTAAGCTCACCATGGTTGTCATCTACCCGATGTGATATTTACATTGTGTGTAGTTCCCTAAACATGGATGGGTTCTGGGCTCACGGTGTTGGAGGCGAAGGGAACATTCGGATCGGTGAAGAGGAAGGAGCGTAAATAACTCACTCAGGCCAGTTCATTCAGTTGAGTCCAGCGAATCTCCAGAATGTCGACGACATCGCTAGTTTCCACGGGGAGATTTTACTGGGGACTTTCAACAAATGGTGACAAACATCTTTGAGTGGTGTCTTCAGTTTCATCTGGAGTCATCTTTTATTCAGAAGGAGTTTCTCCATCCAATCAATTTTTTTCTTTTCTTTTCTTTTCCTTTTTAGTTTTTTGTCAAGTATTCATGACCACTTGGGAAGTTGAAATGCCTGTTAAATATCACTGGCACTAAATTGTTCCTGAAGTTGACTGTATATTTTGATGAAGAGCATAAGCTAAGATTGATTTTAAGGTATGCTCTGATATATAAATTATTATATGTGAGTATTAAAAGGCATTTCATATGTTATATATGCAGATTAAGTAGCAGTGGTAATAATCATTAATGTGACTTAGAATATAATAAGTCAAATCACTCAATAAGATGCATGTTAATTCAATGCACTCATATTTTTCCATCTTCAATGTGTTCAAATGCCGGTCAATAAGACTCAAATTAAGCTTTTAATTATGTATTTAATAACTCAAAATATTAAAGATTATATTACTACTGTTAAAAATATTGAATTAATAAAAAAAATATTATATTAATATTTTAATAATATTTAAATTTCTCATAATAAATTTATCTTCAGACATAAGAAGTTTATAAATTCTGAAAAAGAATAGTTATTACTTTATATAAAAAAGTTTATTATTTATAATATTATTTTTATATTATAGATTATTTAAAAATTTTAATATAAATATTATTAAAAAGACTATGAGAGTAAAGTAAGTGATATTTTATATCTTATATAAAAATTAAATCAATTTAATTTATATTTGTTATAACTTAATTAGAGTTAAAATGATAACAAGATATTAGTTTTAATTTATATAATTAAATACTTGTGATAAAAATACTAAACTTAGAATTAGAATGAAAAATAAATAAGCAGTTAAATATATAAAAATAATTGAAAATAAGATTAGATCAATCTTTGAAGCAAAGTGATTGAGAATTGAAGTGAATCAATTTGAGTAATTAAATATGATTCAGATTGAAACAGATCAATATTAATTTATATATAAGCAACTGCGCTGTAACATTACCTTCTGATTTAAAAGTGTGTATGCTCTCAAGCAGCTATGTTAGAGGCAAGAAATAAGTAAAAAAAAATCTATTAAGTTTATCAATAGACTAATCACTTTGATCATCAGTAATTAGATTCTTAAAGATTTTCTTTCATATATTATGAAGAGAGTTATCATTAGATTCTTACTTATAAATTAATATTTATTTGATAGTTTGATAGTAATAAAGTTTAGAAAAATATGATTAAAATAGATAGTTTTTAACTTAATGATCTTTAGATTCACACTATACATAACACCATAATTAATGAAGTATGTGATAAAAATCATGTAGAAAATCAAAGATATTAAGTTAAATATAATAGAGTTATAATAATTATTCTTTTCAATATAGTGATCTTACACTATTAAGTAATTTGAACAGAGTCTGTTCTACATTATTATATAGATATATATATAATTATAGCTATAAATATAAATATAATCAAAGTTCTAAATATTTATTATAATTATAATTATTAAAAAGCTTAATTAAAAATAAATATAAATAAAATATAAGATTTATTATTTAATTTTTAGTAATTTTTAAGAAATAGATATTTAATATTATATTATAACTCAGTTTAAGTCAAAATAATAATAAGATAAAAGTTTTAATTTATATATATAATTAAATAATTATAATATAAATATTAAATTAAGAATTATAATATAAAATAATTGAATATAAAAAAATACTTATGAATTAAAATAAATTAATTTTTTAAAGTAAAGTAAATCAATTTATAAATTATTATATTATTAGTTAGTTGATACTTTAATTATATACCTTTTTATATAATTTATATCTTAGCTAAAATACTTTATAATAACTAATGAAAGTATTACTAATATCTTCATGAAATTAAGTAACTAATTAATTAATTAATTAATTATTATTTAAATATATTTATATAATCTTATAATTAATTGAATTTATAATTATATTTTATAACTATAACTTTAAAGATGTTATATTTATTAGCAATAGAAATGTTATTTTCACCTTTCTAAGAGGAATTTAGCTACTGTAAGCCTGATACTTGTTGCTGACATGGAATATAATCTACCTATCTGGGAGCCAAACGAGGTAACTTAGGGGTTATTGGCACTCTGTATATTATTATTGCTATGTCTTTCGCCTTTCTAAGTATTTTGAAATGCCAAATGCATAACATATCAACACTTCCCCAATGTTCCGATCCTCCAAAATCATCGAAAGAACCTTCTCACCCCCGTTTTATCTCTTATACAGCCCCGAAACTGAGCCCACCAATATTGAATGCAAACCAACTATCCATCACCAAGGGAAAGAAAAATGTCTACAACCTCTGCGCCCACTCCATACGAGTTCAAACGAGGTGAACTGGTACTTCTGGCTGTTTAGCATCATCACCCTTCAAATAAATAGATAAAAACCATAATACCATCTACTTACTTTTCAAAAATGGTTTGTCATTTTCACTGTCTCCATCTATACCGATATTTTCTGTGCGTCGACTTTTAGCCAGGAGACTGGCACCAAGCAATCCACCTTTGGCAGTGGTAAGGCCTGTCACAGTACCGCCTACGCGCTCAAGTGGTAACTGCGGGGCTGCTAAGGAGGTGGCAGCGAGGCTGAGGAAAACAGTGACGAGAGTATGGATGAGCTGCATGTTTGGATGTTCTTTTGTGAGAAGATAGAATGTGGAGATGAAGGCGGAGATGACGGTGAAAGAAAGTGGGATAGTTTGTTGATATCAAGGTCTAGTGTCTGGTGGACAACGCCGCATGTGCTCGGACGGATAGGCAGTAGTTATTAAAGTCTTTGATTGTGTGAATGGTTCATACTGATGGGAGAGGATTGGTAGATGGTGTGGAATGATCTTCATTTATATACAAACATAAATCCAGAATAGGGGTTAGGAGACTGCATTTTTTTCTGTGCTATGTTACTTCCTTCAGTTCCTGGGCAGGATGTTACTCAGGGGTATACAGATCAATCTTGTACGATATTGCGGCATACTACATATTTTCTGTTTTCAGTTTTCTGAACAGGAAATGCGTCCTACAGTCTCTAAACGGATGTTACTTTTCTTCTCTCTCAACTAATTATTGTTGTACTCTTACACGTCCTCCCCCCTCCATTTATCCTTGTCGGGGGGCTTCTAGTTCTGCCCCTGGAATTTGTGGACATGTGGATTGTGTACTGTACAATAAAATGAAGTCGGAAAGCAGCAGAATTGAACCGCATAATTAAAATCTACGCAAATCTGCAGCACCTACATATTCAGCGACCTCTCCTGACGGTTCACCGGTCCGCTCGCCACCGTCACTTAGAGAACAATAAAGCCCAGATGTCTGGAATAGATGTTCTGAAAAATCGTCTGCCATCATCGTCTTGCCAAATAAGTTCAAGCCCAGGGTATTTTATCCAAGGTTCTTTCGTTATCTTTGGAGTAACTAGATGTCGATGATCTGTATTGCTTCCCCCTTTGCTTCTCATCCAGCATTGAAACACCCCTAGGACCAATGTGAACGCTATCAGAGATACAAAATGGGAAAAAATTTTTGTTTCTAGTGTTGGAAATCTAGACCTTAACCATATTTACAAGGTTAACACATAGTTGAATATGCGGGGTGTGTATAACTATAGGCCAATTGGCCCTCATCGTCTAAAACATTCCCCGCATATCCAACAAAATAAGAGCCAAAAGATGTAAAGCGGGTGACAGATCAAAACAGACAGCTTAAAAAGGGTTCCAGAATCAAACATCAAGAAATGAAAAATAGCGAATGGCACCCATTCCGATCGGTGAGCATCGGCGTGGCGCGGCGGAATAAAGAGAGTGGCCAACGGAAATGCTTTATTTATCTGTTAGAATCGATGTCGACAGCTGAGATTGAGACGAAAGAACTTGTAACGACACGTAGGGGTTGCCTACTCTTCCCCAGAACCTGTCGTACACCTCGAACCTCGAACCTATGTTTCCATTTCCGCAACTTCAAGCGAACAACTACAGCACTCAATGATTCTCCCCACAAGCCACCAAGCAACCACTGTACGGAGAGCTACATTCTAAGGTTGATTTCCAACCACAGCTTTGGAATCTGCGAACTTCGACTCTTCTTGAAGGCTTGCCCACATGCCAAATTTTGGATATCTCTCCCCAGGGCTGCTAGATGCCGCGACGCTGTTACCCGCGAACCTGGCTTCTTCCTTAGGACTCGCCCACATGCCAAGTTTCGGGAGGCGCTTGTTCAATTCGACGGTATCTGTGGTACCCATGGGTGCCGCGGTGCTTGTTGCAATGACACCAACGAAGAGGATCCCAATTGTGTAAATAACCCGCATGGTATGCTTGAAGAGGATTTGTACGTGCGTAAGTACGGAAAATATAGTCATTATCGGAGTGTTGGGTGTAGCTGTTTTGAAGCACTGTTATGAGGTCTGATGGCAAGGGATTTGTCCGATTAAGTGGAGGAACAAGTGCTAAACGGGGAACATAAATATAGAATGGCTGATAGCTTTATCGCGCAAAACATCATACCAATTGACCGGTAGAATGCAAACTGTAACCTAAGGTACGTAGGTAGTCTTCCATACCTTCTTCCCGCACCTTTCTGCGTAAGAGTGGAATGTCGCCCGAATTGGCTGCTCTTGAGTATCATTGCACTACCCGTATTTATTTCAAACCAGTCCAATGCTTCTTGCATTTTCCGGGAATATAGTGCCCGGAGGTCTTCCGTTGGTCAATGAATGGTATGGTTGATAGTATACGAGAGATATAACGAGTGTCCTGGAATTTAAGGATGATAAAAGTCCATGAAAAAGAAAATTGAAGGAAGAAAAAGATGTACATGCAGTATGCACCCAATCACGCTTATGCAGTAAGCTCTTATTTGTCACAACAGCACCGGAAACGAATTGCTGTATACCCAGACTTGCATATCTGAGTAACAAGAAAGCCACCGACATTTTGCGATGCAAACGCTGACTACAGAACCACACCGTACCTATGCAGCATGTGGAGAGCATAGTACGATCGAATTACAATGGCGAGAAGAGATAAAATGACACAGAAAATGCACGAAGAAACTCGTAACAGAATCTTCTGTAACGTTGGCATCTTCTCCTGCTTTACCAACAGGGAATGTCGTAAATCATCCAGTTGACAAACGGTCGTGATACTGTGGAAGAGGAAGAACATTGTCTTAACGAGGACACCGAAAGGGATATGATGCCCCGGAAGACACATGGAGATACGCCAGGGGTATCTCTGCCAGCGCACTTACTTTGCTCAATATATTCCTCCTGATCGCTTTGGGGTCACAGCGGGAGCTCTCATCCATGGGTATGCAGCATAAATGTGCCATTGAAACACCCTCACTGCCTTACTGTATGTATAAACGAATATAATTGCTTCTATATTCCCAACCTCCCCTCCTTATCATGGAAGTTGCTGTCTTTTTCCATTACTTCCATGCCAGCAGCAGTACGAGAAGATAGTTTTGTCCGACATGTGAACAAGCGCTTCACCCCGTCAAAGCTATTTCAGTCCGGAACATCGGACGAGGTCGAAGAGGTATGGAATGAGACTCTGGCATGTATGACTACCTTTCTCCTCTTCTCTTTTCCCACTTCAGCAGCGTAACGCACGGGGGGGTAAAGGGGAAGGGAGCGGAACCGTTCATCAATGGCAAATCCAATTGTCTTGAACATCAACTAATCAATGAAAACCCCGCAACCTCGAAAAGCCACGGATGGGATCTCCAGCTTCCGAAGGAGATATCCAGTCGACTAAATGAATCGATAGAATCTTTCATTGAGCTGGGAAAATACATTTATGGCATTGGCATGTTCCATCAACTACATTGCATTGTCTGAACCGGATCCGCAAGTCCTTCTACCCGGAAGAGTTCTTCCCGGACGAGACGAAGAGTGATATCGACTTTCACAAAAGTGAGTTATGTCGTTCTTTTTGTATCCTACGAAGCACTTTGGCCAGTTTTCGTTTGGGTGACGATCATTGCGCAATGCCCCGCAAAAAAGAGGGGGGGAAAAATAGGGAAGAAAATAAGATTGATGCAAAAAGTAACAAACCTGATAGATCACTGTCTCCACCTTCTCCACCAGTCGATACTCTGCGCCGGAGATGGGTCGATGGCCTACTGGTGGAATCACAGCTACACGTACATAGACGAGAACGGCGCCCTTCTAGAGGGCGGGGATACCAGAAGAGAGGTTCTCCAGCGGTATCGCTTTGAACTCGACTTCAAATACAAAGTCGGCATTGATAATTCAATTCTTTGACATCAAGAAAAGATAGAATTAATGCTAAAGCCATGGTTGAACACAAAAAATCTTAGATGCATAATAAACATCAACGTCACAAAGTACTTGAGAAGGGGAAAAGGAGATATCCAGCAGATGTATCTGTATCACCTTTGGGGTCATCTGAACTTGCATGGAATCTAAAGTGCAAATATAAGAGTTTCTTCCCATCATGGAACATATGCATACAAATCTGTGTGGAGTTATGACATTCTAGTGCTAGAATGCTACAAAGGTTTTTATTATTTATTTATTTATTTATTTGAAATAAAAAGGAGAAAAACATCTAATTTTCCTCGAACTCACAACGGCGGACTTATTGCTCATTTGACAAACTCTTCTAGCGCGTTGCCAATGCTCAAGAGGCACCAACAGTTACCCACAAAGGCTGCGGGAGGATGCCCACTGGTTTGATCTTTGTGGCATGATGCCCCGTGGACGTGGACATGTTCCTATGAGGCATCGTTGAAGAGTGAGAGCCCTGACGCTGCTTCAGAGGCGGTGGACGATGGTCAATGCCAACGTATACTTCCCGACGAGCAGGATTGCCGAATATAACAGACCAGGTGCGGAGACCATAGTATGAAGCGAGAGCGTGGACGAGCCAACGGCTAGATATTATTAGTTGATATAACTAAAATTTATCTCAAAAATTAGAGAACAGACGAACCCAAATCTGGCAGCCCGATCCTCTTCAAGGCTTTCGAAGACCATCATCTCGGAATCCTTCTGTTTGGCCCGGGCTATTTCCGGATTACTGGATTTTTCCGACCGCTCCGTGCAGCTACGCCTATTATGCATCTGCGCCTTTCTACCCACGAATACGACTTCACCATCATCCGAATCGGAATTCGCTTCCGCCTTCTGGTTCTGGTTCTGGTTCTGGTTCTCCTTCCCTACGTCCTGTTGAAGCTTCCGTCTTTCTTCATGGGATAGTTGTGGAAGTGTAACTTCCGACACCTCGTCTTGCGCCACAGTCTGATTTTCGTGATACTTTCCGACAAATCGTCGAATCTCTTCCTCTAGATCGCGCAACAATCCTCGGGCCGCCCGAGCATGTTTTAATCTTAGCCGCAACTCCTTGGTAATTTGGGACTGGAAATCCGAATTAGGCCCCTGCTTATCCTTGCGGGTTCCACCGCTAATTTTGGAGTGCTCCTTGGCCGCAAAGTGAGAGTCCCACAGCGGAGCTAGGTAATATGGAACCGTCCGGCGCGGGTAGGTAGGCTGGACCTGCCAATCGATTGCAGATGGCGGTTGAGCCCAAGGATTATTGAGAAGGCGGTCTGGCAAAAGGAAATAAATATATAAACACGAGTTCGTCAGCTCCACAACTGAACGGATCGGCTATTGACTTGCATAGACCATCATAGACACGGTATGCAAGGGATATAAATGGCAGTGTGCGTCAGAGTGGTTTCTTCCACACAGCCGGCGGCTAAGGTCGCAGTTACGCGCAGCAGTTGGATGGACCCGGGGTTCCTTTTTGGGTTTGTATGATTATAGGTGTCTCTACATACCATTTTCCCAGCGCTGTCTACGACGGCTGCCTTCCTTGCCTTTCAGGAGTGCATCCCGTCTTTTCAGACTGTCACGGCAGAGAGGTTCCCTACGATGATATGTGGCAGAGGCAACGGGGGCGTTATCCTCGCCATTGGTAGCTGTCTTCCCGCGAATCGGCAAGCTGTTGTGCGCATGGTGCTCGTCATCGAGAGGAATGGTAAGAGACGCGGAGGTTCCAAGCAATCTGGAGGTGGAAGATGCTCCATCATCATTGGGGAATGCACTGACACCGTGAATAGATTGGGATGTCTGCTGGGACCAGACGGATATGTCCCACACCTGCTGTTGCGTCAGGGTCCCTTCAACATGGAGGATCGGATGGATAACCATGGTGAGTGATTTAAGAATGCAGTGCAGTATTGATACTGTAGATATAAGCAAGTGAACCACTGGGGAAGTTATTTTATGAGGAATCTCCTCAATGCAGAAGTGTCTGACTATCTTGACAAAGCAATGCTGTGACACAATTAACTTATTAGAGAAGCAAGAAGATTTGTATCCGGTAGTTAATGTTGGAGGATTCCCCTGCTACCCGAGGTCACGTGCACCTATATATATTTATGTTAGACGTCTAAAGTTATTGGTAGCCTATCTCAGGGATGCTATATACTACTGTGCGGTGCGCTAGTCCATAATAGGAAGTCTAGGCTCCAACACCTCCCCCTCAGACTAGCTACTGTACAGACTAGCTACTATCCTGCTCAAATCAATCATATTCATCTTCTCTGTCAATCTATCTTGTCTTCCACTTGCTGTATTCATCAAATCCTTTTCTTATTTCACTCATAATCTGACTAACTTTTCAAAAATTTTTCAATATTTAAAGAAATTATTACAAAGAATATTTAAGTTGACTGACTTGCAAATAGATTTTTTATATTTCTATCTTTGCTTTTATTTCTATCTTTATTTTTCAATATCTCAATATGCTTCTTATTATGTTTCTGTCATTCAGTGCTTGTAAGATTTGAGTTTTTAAATCAGTAGTATTTGATAATATACTTTATATTCTCACAGTAGTAGCATTAACATTCATCAAATCATTCAATGATAACATTTACAGCAAACGAGTTGAAATGAGTTATAGTGATAGTGACATGAGTAGTCAACTGATTCATCAATTCATCAAGATTTAGATTCTGAATAGAGCTCTGCTTAATGATATAGAAATTATTCAGTTTTATTCTAATAAATTTATGTTGTTAGTCTTTTCATTTTAATATTAATAGATTATGATAGATATTCTCAGCTTAATTTTCATCTAAAGATACAAGTTTTGCCTTTATATTTTGAAAAGTTATAAAATAGATATGAAAATCATTGTTTTAAGCTATAAATATTTTAATTTCTTAGTGATTTGAAAATATTCTTTTGTATGATATATAGTATAATATTGAATAAAATTCTTTCATATAGTTACTGCAAAAAAGAAATCTTCATTCAGTAATCTCGGAGAGTCATGTACAGTTATATTCAAATATTAAAAAATTCTTGTATAAAAAAGTTTATTTTTTTTTATTTTAAAGCTCAATTTTTAAAGAAATTATAGTAGAAGATACTGTTTGTTATTTATTGAGAATATATTTTTCTTGAATCAAATAAGCATCTATGAAAATAAAGCTCTTTTATTTCAAATAGTTGACTTCAGTGAGAATAACTATATGCTTTCTTTTCAACTTAATCTTTATATTTTTGTGAAATTTATCAACTTTATTTTTAATAGAATTCATAGTAGTATTTGATAAAAAATCTGAGTTTTTCTCTACTTTTTGTATGAGCATTTCTATCTGTTTATTCTATTTTTTTATATATTTTATCATCATTTATATTATATTTATATTATTTTTATTTATATTAATTTTATATTTTTGATCAGTTTTTTCTTTAGACTTAGAGATAAATATATTATATTCCTCTTTATTTATATTATTAGAGAGTGAATGCGAGCTGCATAAGAAGGAAGCTCTCTGTGTTGCTAACTGCTATATAACAAAATACTAAAATTAGTGAGGAAAAAGAGATGTCAGGGTCTGCTCAGATTATAAACAGCCTATATAGTCATGTGACTAGATTACAGCCAATCCGCTAAGTCCCATAAAGGGTGTAGTCATTAATAGGGACAAATCTAGCCCCAGTGCTGAGTTTACCATCCTTTTTTAATATAGAAGTAGACATGCTCTTATGTTAAAAGATCATCATCATCTTTATTTTTCAGATAACTGCTTGTCTCTCATATTCTTACTCATTTATTTAGATGTTTCAGTGATCTGACTTTAGTGACATTGACCTCATGAAAATCTTATATTGTGTAAAATGATTTTTTAAAGTTGCAGATAAAATATTATAAAGAATTCTCATCAAATTTGTCTCAGTATATTTGATACTACAGCTTGTCTCAGCTTATTCAACTAGTCAGTATATAATCTATCTCTCATTCATTCTCTATATATATTTATATTAAGTCTAATGATCTAACAGTTTGATTAAGTAGATAGTCTCTGAGATTCTTATATAGCTTATCTAAGAAGAAGATTGAATGAATCTTCATTATTGCAGAAAGATTCAATTTGTAGACATTGTTTATTTTCTTCAGAATTATGAAAAGATCAGTATTTTGCTCTGCTAGTTTACAGCTTGATCAATTTATTTTGTATGATCTCAATATTAGATAAATAAAATCTTCTACTATAAAGTCAGACTCTCAGTGATATTTATCAGTCTATTTCTTCATCTATTTCTGTGTTATTTTTATATCTTTACTTATTTGATTTCAGATCTCTTTCATTCAGTAAATGAAGCTTTTTGCTACTTCTTAATTTTTTTTCTTATTTGTATTTAATTTTTTTATCAGTGATTGTCAATTAAATAACATCTGAGATTTATAATTATTAACTGTGAGAAAGAAGAAGATTTTTATGAAAGTATTTGAAATAGCTGCAGAGATATAATCTATAATAAGCAGTCACTTATTTCAGCTATCTTGATAGTAACTGACATAGAGATGAAGACAGATGACAATATATTAATTCATCACTTCTATCTATTTATCTATTTGTGTATGATGCACTGTTGAGATTTTCAGTTTTATGCTCAGAGTCTATGTAAACATATTTCAAAAGCTTGATAAGAACTAAAGGTTTCAGTCAGAGATAATTGAGTCAGATACTTTATTATATGAATAGTAGAATTGAATGAATAGTTAAATTAGTTTCTGAGCTATAACTCACTGAATGATTGAAATAAAAGTTATCTTTTTGCTTAACTGATATACTATAATCAAAATGATATTATAATCTGTTTTGCTTTTTGATATATTTATAAAGTTCATAGTGATATGCTGTCATATCTATTTTGATATTGATTAAAAATTTTTTTAGCAAATCAGAAATCTTATCTTTTGAGATTTTACTGATCTG